GGGGGGGGGGTTGTAAAGATGTAGACTTCTGGAGCAAGAGGCACTGAGTTAGGGTGGCTCCTGTAGACCCAAGCCCTAGACAAGAAAGGTGGGGTAGGGTGGGGAACCTTAAGTGTTGGTCAAAAATGTAAAGGGGGAACAGGATGGATGGGAGTGGATGCCTGAAGGATTTCCCCAGAGGAAAGCTGCAGCATTTTCCTTACCTCGGGTCTTTCCCCCTTTTTTCTAGGGTTCCAGGACATAGGCTGAGGCAAGATGGAGGGTGTGAGGGGCCTTCACACTTCACTTCATCCCTCTACCCATCACAACATATAAAGCAACTACACCTGGATTTTTCCAAACAACTTTTATTTCCTCAAAGTCTTCCTTAACCCTATGGAACAAGAAGCTGCCACTGAGTAGGGCCCAGTATAGGGGCTTTTTCTACTCCCTCCCCCCAATATAAAAATATAGATATATATTTTTTGTGGTCCCAAAATCTTGTGCTGTGGAGGGAGGGATGGGGTAGCAGGTTTCTGCTTTGTGCTGTCTCAAGGTGATGCTCTGGGATGTCTCAGAACAGTGTGGCTGGTATTCACTGTCCGTTCATATAGGAATTATGGTTGTCACATGGAATCAACAGCTGAGGGAGGAGGCTAGCACATTTCTCACTGTGTACCCCATCTTGGGGCTATATCCTGGGCATGGAGGTGGAGGCATCAGACCCGGGGAGAAACAGTGAGTGGGGGTGATTTAGGGACAAAACAAACCTCAGGCTGGCCCAAAGGCCCCCCGCTGTAACGTATCCGGGACTGGGAGTCAGATAGACTACAGGAAATAGGAGAAAAGGCAGGGGCAGAGCGGGGCCGTGGGGGCCCGGCATGAGGCAGCCTGCAACAGAGAAGAGAGAGGAATCAGGCTTGTGAGAACTCTGACAGGGGCTGGACATGAGAGAGGGGAGATGGGTAATGATAGGTGGGTTGAGCACTGCACCTTGGGCTGATGCTGAAATGCGGCGGCTCCTAGGCCTTAGCCCCTAACAAGGAGTTGTTTTCTTGTCCTTTGCAGTGAAGACTGAGGCCATGATGGGAAAAAAATCAGGGACTAGATTCTTAATGAAAGTACCTTTAGTCTTTTGGAGGTCAGAGGGATTAGGGAAGGAAGAAAATGATCCTGAATGTGCACAGAAATGGGAATGAAGGGACAGAAGTGAGAGGTGGGGTGAGGGACTGGACCCGGGTGCTCACCCTGGTGCAGAGATGGGTCCTGGTTCCGGCTCACTGCTCTCCCTGGTCCGGGGTGTAGGGGATGTGGGGCCCGAAGAGCCTCTCATCCCTCTGCGAGTCGGCGGTGAGCCCCGGCCCAACCTGGGCCTAGCCTGTGTGGATAGGGGGTGGGCTGAGAGGCTGGATTCTTCCATTAACTTTTTTGCTTCTGGGTTTGCTTCTAGAGTTTCCGTGCATAAGAGTGTAGGACAGGGGTCAACACCGGTACTGGGACCTTGAATTTCTGGGCACTGTCCCTAGCTGAGAGGGTAAGGCAGGATAATAGCTAGAGAATTCTTAGGTTCAGTTTATGACTATACACTCTAAGTCATACTTAACTAGGGGAGGCAAAAGGATCTAGCATTTAACCTCCATGGCTGTATTATGGCTGACATCTGGCTGAATAGGGAAGCAGTGTTTGGAAAGAGGTTGGAGAATTGGTGGGTCTCTCAGAGCCTTCTGTGCCTCAGTCCCTGCCAGAGCAGCTTAGGCTTCACGCATCCGGTCTCTGTCTGTACTCAGCTTTAGCCAGTTTAACATGAGAAATCTGGACTGAATTGGGAGTTGGTGGCACAGCTGTTCTTAGGAGCAGCAACCAGATGTGTTACCTGGGGAATCCGGGACCCCTCCTGGCGGGAACTGTCCTCGGGCAGGTCTGGGCAGAAAGAGAGGAGAAGCTAAGGGCAGGGGCGGGCAGTGCCAAAGCTAGCAGGCTGAGGTTGGGGTGTATCTGGCAGGGACGCGGGTTGGAAGCAAGCAAGAGACCTGGCTGAGGGATGGGGGTACTGGACAGACAGGCACGGGCACCAGAGCAGCTCTCTGATATGGCCGGGGGAGGTTGTAAAGCAGTGCTGAGCATTTTCCCTCCCACTACCCAGACGAACAGTGCCTTGCTGGGCTCTGTGAGAGTTGTTACACTGGGGTTTGGGGAAGACACAAAAATGTTACCTGCAGTCGTGTCCTGATACAGGGGATCCGAGGTCCAGTCCCTAGCAGCCCTTTCCCAATCACCATGACAGCCTCTGGCTTGTCGCCTGAGGACAGGAATGAGCAGCTGCTCCCTAGGAAACAAAGAAAACTGCTATCAGGGTAGGGAGCCGTGGAGAAGAAGAGGGAACTTCCTTTAGAACAGGGTTTCTCAAAACTGGCAATATTGACATTTTGGGCTGGATGATTCTTTGTTGTGGGGACCTGTCTTGTGCATTGCAGAATGTTTAATAGCCTTTCTGGTCTCTACCTACTAGATGGCATTTCTTCTTCCTCTGTCCCCTCCCCATTGTAACAACCAAAAATGTCTCCAGACCTTGCCACATGTTCCCTAGCGAGTAAAATGGCCCCTGGTTGAGAAGCACGGCATGCTCTAGTCGGGTCCAAGGAGTGGAGTAGCAACTTGCAACTTGAGCCACAGCCCATCAAGCTGAACTACTCTGAATTTATAGACTTCAGGGCCTGTCGCATCCAAATGAGTAAGCGCTCAAGGATAAGTCAGTACCCAAGATGATAGACTGACAAGGGCTACCCACTGAAGACCGTTAACAGGTTGGGAGTAGTGGGCTCTGAGGGAGTTAGAGGATGTTGGACTGGAGTCTTAGGAATCATTCCCGTCCAGTCCTTTACACAGCTGGGTGTATAACTTAAAAGGACAGCAGGTGGCCTGGGTTTTATGTGGATGATGCGGTCACACAGCATTTGCTGTGATGATAGGTGAAAGGCCTCTGCCTTTTTTTGTTCTTCGGTTTTGTCTAATGTTGCCCAGTTCCTGGAGTCAGGAAGCTTGAGTAAGTAGCAGGTACTCAGGTTGTTCACCTTTGAGGATTAAGTGAGACAACGTGCTTAGAGCAGTGCCTGCCACATAGATGCTCAAGAAACAATAGCTATTTTATTATACAAAGACATCCATTAACTTCCAGCTTCCTGTACAAGAGCATGGGTGCTTTACGGGTTTAGGATAATCCAGGAGGATAACGGATGCCCCCGGTGTGGAGAGGCCTGCATTAACTTTCTGCATCAAGTCAAGAAAGGAGCTGAAGGGATTGGTTTAAGCCTAGCAGGGAGTCTGGTCTACACCCTGGGTAGTAGGGAAGGAAGGAGGCTGGCCAACCCAGATTTCGGTGGCAGTAGGTACAGACCTGATATGCTGAGTGAGCTGGGGAGTAGGCGGGAACCCATGTTGTGTGAGGCTGCTGGGCTAGAACTAGCAGGATTTGGGGATGGGGCCAGGCCGCTTGAAGTAGGGCGATGGGTCAGTGGCTGCTGCCGCCGTCTCCTGTCCTGGCTTCGGGGCTCTGAGTGGAAGGGACACAAGGAGATAAAAGGGCAAGTAAGTGAGGCCCTGTCACTCCACTGCCCTGCTGGTTCTTGCACTTGTCATCACACCAGCACTCCTCTCTGGAAGTAAATTTAAGGTGGGTAGAAAGACCTCTGATACTGACTCTGGTTACCCGGGTCACAGCAAGCCCTCATCCGCCTCTCTGTGGCTAACCACCCTGCTCGCTCGCCAGTTCATTCTTCTGGCCGAGAAGTTACTGAGCTTGGCTTCTGAAATAGCTTCCCTAGGTTTCTCCTGCCTCTAACCACTCCTCTTCAACTACTCTTACTGCCCCCAAATGCCAGTGCCCCTCCCCCATTGTACCCTTGGTCCCCTCTTGCTGTGCATACTCCAAACTCCCAAGCTGCTCTGGAGCCCTCTTTCCTGAACTACAGTTCAGTGGTCCACTGGCATTTCTACCTGGCGGTCTCTCGTGACCCCCGCAAAACTAATTTTCTTCCATCCTTCCTTTTCTTCTCCTTACCTTGGTGAAAAATGTCCTAGAAACCTGTTTCATCTTCTGACTCCTCCCTCATATTTAGATTTGTGTTTAACCAAATCTAGACAATTCTGCCTCTGCCTTTGCTTGGATTCCTCCTTCATTCTCCCTTGCCATGGCCTGTGTCCAGCTATAGGTCTTTATCTCTCATTCAGGCTTCTGAAAAAAATTCCCCACTTGTCACCCTAGCTTGAATCTGTTCCCTTTTACAGTCCCATCTTTCACACCGGTGCCAGAAATTATTCCAAAACCTAGACCTGATCAAAAGTCATCTGGTTCAGGCAAGGAGGAGATAACTGAAGGTCTTTTAAAGGATAAAGCCTAGGGGCGCCCGGGTGGCTCAGTCAGTTAAACATCCGACTTCGGCTCAGGTCATGGTCTTGCAGTTTGTGGGTTTGAGCCCCACATCAGGCTCTGTGCTGATAGCTCAGACCCTGGAGCATGCTTCAGATTCTGTGTCTCCCTCTCTGTCCCTCCCTCACTCATGCTCTGTCTGCATCTCTCTCTCTCAAAAATAAATAAACATAAAAAAATAAAGGATAAAGTCTAAACCCTTTACCGTGGCATTCAGAGCTCCATCCACTGTGGTTCCAGTCTGCCCATCCTTGGTAGGATGCTGACTTGATCCTTCAAACCCTCTGCTACAGCCCCTGTAGCTGCTAGCTGTGTGGTTCCTCTGCAATGTCCGTTTCCTCTTCTAGTGAAACCTTGAACAACTTAACATGTCCCATCTCAAATGTCACCTCTGTGAAGCCTCCCTGACCATCACAGGTAGAATCGACTGTTCTCCCTTGCTTTATTGTCCTTTGTTCACTTGGCTAGTAATGATTTATGGTTTTTGTCTCAAGAAGCTAGCACATGTCAAGTACTTATAATCATGCCTGGTACATAGTACTCAGTAGTTGTTAACTAGTATTCTGCTTGAAACTGGAATCTCTTGAGGGTAAGGACTTTTCTCCAGTCTATACCAGTCTGTATATCCTGGTGCCTACAAAACTCTGCCTAGAAAACCAGAGACACTAGTAAAGGTTTTGTTTTCCTGAATAGCAGACACCCACCATAGACCATGGGCTGCTCAATAATCTGAGTCTAAGGACATATGCTTATTCTCCGTGGGGCAGCTCTTTCTGGTCCACTCTGGCTAGAGCCTCACCGGTACAAGTTCTGAGAGCAGACGGTGACTGGATGGTGTAGGGAGGCTCTCGGGTTTGGCAGGTCTGTCTCATCACAGAGGGATGGTAGGTGCCAAATGCTCTCAGACTGAATGAGCTATTAAGCTTTGTGGAGCTGAATTCAGTGAAGGTCCCAGGATGCCACTTGGCCTCTAACAAAGTAATGTGTGTTGGATGCAAAATACCTCTAATTCAGGAAGTAGGTGACAATAACTTAATCTTGGCCAGCTATAATGAGCAGTAGTCAGCAGTGACAAGACTACTTCTGGAAATCCCAAACCAAATTTTTAAAAAATTGACACATGAATAAGGAATAGAAGAAAGGGAGAGATTTCAGGACAGAAGCTACTCTAGCTTTGAGGAGTTTGCTGAGGGGCTGGGTACCAATTAGAGTACCAATTAGAGCCAAGAGTCAAAACTAACCAGACCTGTCAATTGTAAGTCAATAGTAAACAGGCAACAACAACAAACAGACCTTAGGGTACTAAAGAGGTGATACACAGTGAAAGGACAGAAGTCAGAGACTCATGGCCACAGTCAACCTGAAGCATTACCTACCACCAATGACTCAGAAATACTGTAGAACCTAGCCTTGAGTGATTCTTCAGTAAAACACTGATATCAGGATGATATCCAGATGACAGTGCATAGCAGGCAGAAATGAACTTGATCAAGGATGGAAATAGTGGGTTTCTTGATGATCTGGGTATCTCTACACAGAGGCATGTTGAAATCATGTTAAGGATGAAGCCTTACCCACCCCAGGAAAGGTACGAAAGAGCAAGTAAGAAAGTGAATGAAAGCCTTTAGGACATTTCTAGGTTGTAGCAAGAAACTGAGCAACACTCAGGAAGGTATGAAGCAGAACAGGCATATGATGTAAAAAATGTCAGTGTGAATGTACGTATTATGGGAAAGATACTACAGATACAACTCAAGGATCCTGCCCCTAATGAGAGTTTTAAGGACAGGAGACCAGTCTGGTTTAGGAGAGGCCTAATATGGAAAGGATAAGGCATTTAAAAATAGCATTTTAACCCTCACTTAAACGATTTTTTTTTTTTTTTAAGAGAGCATGAGTGTGCACTGGGGGAGGGTGGGGCAGACAGAGAGAGAGAGAGAGAGAGAGAGAGAGAGAGAGAGAGAATCCCAAGCAGGCTCCACATTTAGTGCAGAGCCCAATGTAGGGCTCGATCCCACAACCCTGGGATTGTGACCTGAGCTGAAATCAAGTCAGATGCTCAACTGACTGAGCCACCCAGGTGTCCCTTAAAAGACTGTCTTAAAGCCTGGCCAGGCCTCCCTGTAAATTTGGCAATGTGAGCACACAGCCCAATTTCTCATGTTTTGACTTTTGGCCCCTGGTATAATCCAGGCCTACTCAGTTCCCACTGAGACAAAAATTTAAGGGAGGAACCCCAGCTGTTATTTCTTGCTTCTAAGCTATAGAAACAGTGGCTTGAGGCTGAGTGCAGAGTGATATGTGAGTCAGCTGTGCTTCCAGAGGTTGTGAGATTGCATTTTATGGTAATCAACTGTAGATTCCATTTTGGGAGTAGGATAATCCTGGGGCAAAGGTCTGAGGTAGAGCCGGACTGACCTCCCCAGTGTAGGAGTCAGAGTGGTTTATTCTAAAGGTCTCAAAATTTAAAGGAACAGTTACTGACTTGGCATCTTTGAACTGTCCCTACACGGAGCACCCTAGATCGTACTGAATCCCTGGGATAATCACAGACCTGATTTATGCCCTCTAAGGGGTGAAAAGGTCAGACAAGCATTTATTCAGCTCCCAATTTCTTGTCTTTTCCATTCAACAAGCATTCACTGATCATAAATAAATGCAAGGCACCAAGGGAATCAGTAAATGTGTTAGGAGACATTTCCTGCCCTCAAGCTTTAATCTACTCTTAACCACAAAACTTGTTTGCAGTGGAAAAAGTAAAAGTAGTTAGTGATGGTGCTGGAGGCATTCTTCCTCTGTCCTCTGACTCACTTTTCAAAGGAACCTCCACTCACCATCGGACTTCAGCTGCTCTACCAGAAGCAGCCCGTCGGCTGAGCCATGGCATGGCAGAGGCCAGGAAAGAGTTCTAGTAACTACGGATGCAAGTGCCAGAGCTGGGAGGGAGGACGGTGGCTGTGGTGGGATGACAGCTGACAGCCTCCGTTTTTACACTGCCCCCTTGTCTTTTACCCCAGGGTCCCACCAGATAGGCACAGGGCCAGGGAATATGTTTCAGTTACTGGGTGAGACTTGCCTGAATCCAGGGCCAGGACTAGGATGAGACACCTAGGGTGCACTCCCGACCCCGAGTCCTGGGCGCCCCACCAGCTTCACCTTAGTCCTATGCCCTACATAACAGACAGGTGGAGCTGGTTGATTTATCCACCCTCACCCCAGCCGGCTTGCCTTCAAGCTCTGTTTTGCACCAGTATCTTGCAGGCTTTCAACTTCCTACTTCCCTGACTCAGTCACTGGATAAGCTCTTCCCGTGAGCTTGCTTTCCTCTGCAGCAACAGCTGCTGCTAACGCTGTGTGCCGTTCTGTGCCTGCCGAACTGGAACTCGGCTGCATAACTGGGCAGGTGCTGCTCAGGAGGTGTTTTGCAGCTGGGGCAACTAGGTAAAGAAGCTCCTGGCACTGCGGTCACGGGGTGGGAGTGGGGTCAAGCTTCCTTGGAGGCTCTTGCAGTCTCCTGTCTCAGGAACATTCCTGTTCACCCTGAGTTGCCTTGCTCGTTGGTCTCCTAAAATGTTCATCCTCCAGTCTTGAGAATAGAACCTGCCAGACTAGTTCCCTAACCTCTGCTTTAAGCTTCTGGCTGGGCTGCCTAGCTCTTTTCTGAAATTTTCTGGATAGCCTGTCTTATGCTCTGTTCTAGCCAATAAAGGATAGTCATGAATTAAGTATACAGTTAAGTGTGATACGATTTTTATACATCAGTGGGAACTTTCTTTTAAATTTACAAGTCAGAAAAAAATCTTTTGTCAGATCACAATCTCAGTTTTGGGTTTGGAAAGTATAGCCGCTTTATAGTTAGGTCTCAGAGATACAGGAGCTGTGTTCTTCCTATGTCAGAAGACAAAGTATGACTAGATGTGGCAGGGGCCATAGAACCGGATGTGCAGAACCAGGAAACAGCACAAAGCTATAGGACAGATCAACCGGACAAATAAAGCCGCAGGTCCCTATCCTAAGCCGGGACTAGTCTCCAATCCTAGAGTCCTATTGGAGACTCTAGGAGATGAAGCGGCAAAAACTGTAGTACCTGGAGTCAAGATTCCAGCGCTCTGACCTTTCACCTCCTTCCAGTATTCCTGTTTGATAGAATTAGTAACCCTCTTCTCAACCCTTTGACTTTAGACACATAGTTTGTTAGGTCTCACAAGTTTTACTCAAGTCCCCAGGGTGTCTCTTCCTGGCGCCAGCTCCTTTTTTCTGCTTCTTAGCTCATTTACCTGGGGGGACATCGCTTCTCACTTGTTTTACCTGCACCTGCGTATGGCTGATGCCTAGATCCAACCTTGATGTCACCTTTTCTACAGGCTGGCTCTTTTTTCTGCCTGCAGGACATCTCCGTATAGATAGCCCATGACATCCAAGTATGTCTGAAATAGATAAACTCAACACTTTTTCTTCCAAACAATGTCTTAACATCACCACGACTCTCTCCTTTGGCTTGTAACCTTGAAACTCTTAGTTTGCCTCTCTTCCACCATCACTGAATCCTGCTACCTGTTTCTGATGCATATATTTCTCTCTCCTTTCCAGACCCTGGTATAGCCATTAGTTATCTCATTATCAATTACTGTGAGGATTCCCCTCCCCCCACCTACCCAATACATACAGTTCACAGGCCACTCTGGCATAAATCTCTCGTTCCCACCATTCTCTGAAGCACACAATCGTTGTCCTATGTCTCAGTTAACTTATCATCTTTGTTTTCCAGACATTTCAACTTCTTCCTCCAACCTCTCTCCACCTAATTTCTGTGCTGAAGGGCTTGGCCCTTTGCACCAGCTAGGTCTGTCTGCTTCTTGTCCCCTCTGCGCAGCAGCACTGGCCCTGGCTACCACTCTCATCTCCGGAATGTTTTTGTCAAGCCATATGCTACCATCCATTCTTCAAAATCCTCACTCAACTGAACATTCTTTGGCTACTTACTCTTGAGTGTTCTATGACGGTGGCTCCCCAAGTGCCCTGTGTTTACGAGTGTGTGCTTTTATGTTGTTCACTGTCCTGTGTCCCCTATTAAATTTAAAGTCAGCCAACCAGGAAGTATTTAGTACTGAATATGCACCTTTTCTCTTCGTTATTTGGGGAAGTAACAAAGACACAGAATACATGTCTCTCACTGACGGAGCTTCATACAGCACTCTGCATGGGGTGGGGTGGGGACGATAATAAAATACGAACGAAAAACTGCTTAGAATCCTCCAGTGAGGACCTGGGCCTAGAGAAGACTCTTTCCTATTTCTCTTTTGTAGTCAGGGAAGGGGAATTTAGGACGCTGACATTCCTTCCCAGGAGCTATGAGTGAAGAGGTATGAGAGGCTGACAAAAAGGAAAAAAACAGAAAGAAAAAAGGAAAAGAAATTAGAGGAAGTCTGAATAATGATTAGTGAATAACTTTGCTACTTAATATTAAGCTATGAAATCTTGGACAAGTCGCCCTTAAACAGCCTCAGTTTTCTCATCAGAGAAATGGAAATACCATCCGCCCCACGGGGTCCTTGTGAGGACTAAATGAAATATATATATGTGATACTGTTTTGTTCGCTGTTTAATGCTATTTAAATACGTGGCATTATTATTTTAATACTCTCCTTCAAACAACGCTGTACAAAAGCATCCTCTCCAAATGAAGGGAGAATCTCAAAGAATGGGGCTCGGAATAGAAGCGGTAACTGTGTTGCTTATGAGGGATAAACGGTCTTACTGGCTGTTTATAAACCTGTGGCTGCTCCAGCGGGTGCAGTCAGGTTCCCACAGCCACTGACCCAGGGCATGCCTCTGGGTCCCTACCAGGGAGTGCTAATGAGGAGTGCGGCCTGAAGACCCCCAGCCTCTTAGTTCCAGCTTACAAGCCTCCAAACTCTGGCAGGATGTCTCCAGCCCAGAGGCCACGTACAATACCGCTTTGAGGTTTCGTGTATTTCTGGAAGTGGCACTACAACAATCTCCCCCCACCCAAGTCTGAGTCACCCCCAAGGAATGGCTCCATGGTCTCTTCCTCTTCTTTGTCCCTAAAAGCCCATCTGTTTCTGGTATACCTCTGAACTCAGAATCTCTCATCAGGCAGGGTCTCATCAAGCCAACCCCAGGGGTATTGATGCACAGTTGAGCAGTTGTGGTGACTGCTGGGAGGGGCCAGACTGTTGTGTTGTAAGCCTCCAACAGAAGCTGTCTGTACTTGTTCCGTTTTTCTCTGGAAGACTTAGAATCCTTCTGACACCGCTTTCTGAACAGGCTCTGAAGCCAGGAACAGTTTCATCCCATAGAGACCTTGGATAGGATTCTCCATCTCTACGGTGCTACAATTTGCGTTGTGAGGACATTTCCTTACACTGCTCCTAACAAGACAGTCTGACACCATTCCTGACATGGAGGCTCCACATTTCAGTGTGGCCCTGTTGCAGCTAGTGTTTTGTTCTTGGAAATCCCGCTGCTTCCCAGCATGTGCTGAAGCCCAGGTACCCAGGACTCCCGCCTGTGCCACACACAGTACTGCTCTGGGGCTCATGGCGCAGGGAACACCAAGGTCGCAGGAGAGGCTGCAGATTCTGCTATAAACTACTTTTATTGATTCACCCCTTGGTCCCAGCCAAGAGTGTGTATCTTCAAGCTCTCATTTCCCCCAGCAATTCCCCAAACAACTGAACACCTGTTGCAGGGGCTCCCAGACTGGCTTACCTCTGACGGGGCCCAGCACCCGGTGGCTGACCTTTTGAGTGCTAGAGCCCAGGCCTGGCAGCCCTGTGGGCCGACTGCCATGAAAAGGAAAGCTGGGGGAGTTCTTCATCTGTGGAGAGTTTTGCTGGCTGCTGCTGCTGCCACCGGCACTTGTGCCGGTGCTAAAACTGCGTGCACGGCTCAAGGGATTTTCAGAGCAGGAAACAGGCAAGCCGCTGCAAAGAAGCAAGCAGATGCCAGTTAGCCCTGGGCCGGGGAGGTTGTGTCCCAAGGCTTTCCCTGAGGTCTGATGCTCAGGAAAGGTTCACCTTGGGTGAAAAAGGCAAAGGCGCTCACTGCAAGGGAAAAGGGAGGGATCTGTGTCCACAGATGGGGTATCTAACCTGGACCATACCAGCTGATCTCAGGATGCCTGGGAGCCCTTGTTCGCAAAGACATGCTCCTGCAGAAAACATACTAAGGGCTGCGGGGCTGTCTCGGAGCAGCTTAACTTCGTGAATTCCCCCCTTATTCCCTTGGACCTCTTGGTCATTCCCAACCCCTGGAAACCGAGACCTGCCCTTACCCCCACCACAATTAAATTTAATTTTGTGCCGGGCTCTGGAGCAGGGAATCCCCTGGCCTGGTTTCCAGATGCCTAGGAAGTCTGTAGCTCCAGGGAAGAGGGAAGAGGATCCCATTTTCAAAAAAATGTACTAATCTTACCAATTTTAACTTGCTCTGAAAATACTCACCATGTGGTCCTTTTGGATAGGGGAGGAACACAAACCCCTTGGAACTCCTTGCTCTAAAGCCCTGTTCCACTTTCATACCCTTTCCTCCTTCCACCCTGTGGGTCTTACTTGTTACTTTTGGGTGGAGTTCGAGAGCCTCTCTTCTTGTTGACACCCATGTTCACAGTGCTGCTCAGGCCGCGGCTGCTGCGCACGTGTTTTAGCATCCAGGCGCGGAGGTTCGTGAGGCTGCTGTGCTCTGACAGTACAATTCGGGGCCATGGATTGCATTCTGCCATGTCCAGAGCTGCAACGGCCATAGCTCGTCCCACCTGTGGGGTAGTCCAGTTTGGCTCAGCATCTGGGACTTCCAACCCAGGCTGCTATGTTGGGGAGGGGGTTGCACAGCACAGTGGAAGGGGAGGCCCGGCCCCAAATTTCCTCAGCGGGCAGGCTATATTTTGTGCCAGGGCTATTTATATCGGCAGATTTAAAGCCGTTCCCTAAACCGTTGCTCATTTTGGGACCCTCATCCTTTATGGGCAAGAGCAAGTGGGCTTTCTGGCTGGCACCAGGAAGGCATTCTCCCAGCAGGAGAAGGTGTTTCAATCTCTTCTATAACCTGCAGCTCTTTCTCCTTCTCTCGCGAGCTCTAGGACCCTGGGGTCCTCAAAGACCACTGCAGAGGTGGTGCTTTTAAGCCTAGGTAGGAGTGAACAAACCCAATAGAAGGAAGAAGACCAGCTTAAGACGCAAAGAATCTGACTCAGATGTGCTGGGGATTCTCTGTGGTATGAGGTCAGAAATAGTGCCTACTCATCGTCCCAATCCCATCAGAGTCAGGGGCCTGCCCTATGCTAACTGCAGAAAATAACCACAGCGGTGAGATGGTGACGGTGGTAAGCCTCTCTTCAGAGGGCCTTAGGCAGCAGGAGTGAAGACCATTCCAGACTTTGGGGTTCCCCTCTTCCCCAGGTATCCCCTGTATCCATACCTGTTCAAACAGTTCCACAGTGTATCTGGAGGGGAAAGCCGGCGGGGGAGGGGGGCTGGCCCGCCCGTTGTCATGGCAGGCGGCAGGGATGCTGTTCACTGAGCGTCCGGTGTTGTAGTTGCATTCAAGTGTGTAGCTAAGACACAGAGACCTTTATTAGTGTCCTGCCTGGAAAAATCAGGACAGAACCATGGGGGACAGCCTAGGTGGTCTAAGAAATAATCACTTGGAAAACAGTGGATACAAACAAAGTGCTAATCCTTAGGAACTAGCAATTGACCTTGGCACTATATCATGTACCCGAGAAGTACCGAAAAGTCAGACTCTCAGGCCAAAGACAGTAATGCTAATGGTGAGCCTGTCTTTTGAGAAGATTTGGGCCGTCCCTTGCCCCTCAAACAACTTAGACTGGGTATTGTTTTCTTTAAGGAAGTTACTTCATCAGCTATATCCCAGTTTCCCCCCAACCTGTGGATTATCCCTGAGGCTTTGTAGATTGCAACCCGGCCGCTTCCCTCCTTAGACTGGCCATCTCTGCGGTCTCGGGCATACATGTTCTTCTCTGAGAAATTGCAGCCCTGGAAGTCGAAGTGTGCTGAGTTCAAGGAGATGAGCTTTGGATACAGCATGTTTTCCACCTGTGTAGGGAGGAAAAAGGCAATTCAGGAGAGACAGACAGAAAGAAGGAATGGGCAAGGAAGAGATGGCAAGCAGGGGGCCATGTGACTAAATACATGGCAGATACCATGTTTTTTGAAAATGTCACTGTGTGCTTGACCTTATTTCCAGGTGTTGGAAAGGTACAGTTCTATCTCTTTTTAAGCTCTTAGCTTCGTCTCTCCCACAATGCAAACTTTTCCTTTTCCCCTGATTTCCCGAACTGTAGAATAAACACCACGATGCTGACAGCTTGGTCTTCGTTCAAAGGTCATGATGTAAAGACTGAGACACAAAGCCCCAGTGCCATCCCCCTTTGGCCCTTTGAAGCTTGTTTGGAGGTAGAATACCTCTTGCAGCCACAGGCCTTCCTGTCATAAGACCACCTTCCCTTTGTCCTTGGCCTAACCTGTATCTCCTGACCTGCAACACTTCCCACACTCACGTGGCACTCTGGATTCCTACCTGGGTGCTCTCATCACTAAAGCTGTTTCCATACATGAAGCAGCCCCTTTTGGAAGCATGTCCGTGCAGGTCCACATAGTAAGCGACGCCACTCTCTTTAGGGGGGATGGTGTCGGGGGCCGGCTGCTCAACCTCAGCGGACCGTTGTGGCATAATCCACACACCACTGGGCTTCTGTTCTGCCGACTCGGTCTGTGTCCAGCCTTCAGGGTCATCCCCGTCAGACGCGTGCCCAAGGTGAGCTTCATTTTGGATATTGTTGGTTTTCTCAAGGTCAGAAAGGGGAGCATCAGGAGGGAGATGGGGACTGTGCTGGTGCTCAGAGGGACCCTGGGAGTTCAGTCTGGAGTGCACGTGGTGGTAGAGAAGCACAGCTTTGGCCCCGTAGATGGCTGGGTGCAGGACTGCATCGGGCTTCAGGTACTGACGGTTCAGGTTCACTCCACGCGAGTCTGTGCTATAGGAAAACAGAGACTGAAGCAGAGTCTAGAGCGCTGAGCCGGTGAAGGAGACATGAGAGTAGATGAAAGGGGGCCTGGGGGAGACTGACTTGCAAAATGAGAGGCCCAGGTTGCATTAGGAAGGAAAGGATTGAGAACAGGCCCTCTCCTTGGTGGGCTGTCCCCCCGACCACAGAGACTAAGCACGGCTCCCTCTACCCAGATGGACCTGCGGTTATTCTAACTCTGCTCCTTCCAGAGAGCGCCGCTAGATGTGCCACATTCCTTCTCTGGTCCCTGGACAATGAGATGGGCTTGCCCTTGTTCGGGTACAAGAGGACTGGGAATGCAGGAGAAGTTAAAGGAGAGGCTGATAGTATTTCACGGAGGTGGAGGACACGAAGGGGACCGGGAACAATCCTGACAGGCTGGGGAGGCTGCTTACCGGTAGTGGCCCCGGACCACACCGTCGGGGTTCAACATGGGAATCAGCTTAAAGACAAAGAGGCGACGCAGGGTTTGGGCCCGGGGGTCATCAGGTCGAAGGATGAAGTCCAGAAAGCCATTGAAGACAAAGCTAGATGGAGTCTCCCCAGGGTGTACCCTACTGCTTAAGAAGAATATCTGAGGTGGAGAGGAGAGCGGTCATTAGGCCAGTTACCTGGTATGTCCTCTCTAACAGTAAATGGGGGGCGGGCAGGAAGAGCCACTGGATTTGCAGCTGGCTGAGTCTGCAAGTGGAGCTGGGAGCAGCCCTGCTTGCCTCCGAATGCGGCCACGACTCCCAGAGGTAACATGGCCTTAAGCTATCCACAGGGCTTGGAGCTACGGAAAGGCCATGGTGCTACCTTTATGCTGTTCCCACTCACCCTCTTGCCTGTGAAACGGAAGGGTCGGGGGGTGCCGGTATCAGGAAATAGCTGCTCTAGACGGGGCTCTCGATCTTCTCGAAGCCCATGGCAGGAAGTGATCGTTAACAGATCTACACGAAGTCCATCCAAAGAATAGCAAAGGATCTCACGGTGGTAATAAATGGTGTCCAGGGGGCTATGGGGATAAAAACGATTAAGCCACGAGAAGTCCCTAAAATCCTAGCAAGAGGTGAGCCTCATCCCCGGCCTAGGATTTGTAGGATCTGGTCTTTCACGCTAACCTTTGGGGCCTTAGAGTCCCTCAGAGTGTTAAAAGAGGCTGAGGATTTGGGTCGTCTGAATTAGTAGAATGCAGAATACAAGACGGGATGAACTTATTGTTTTCTCCCCAGTTTATGGCTCTCTACTATGTGATGACTTCGTACACAGACTCACCCTCTGCCGGGACAGAAAAAAAGGTGTGTTGGGCAATGGCGGGGCTAAGTTCTGGGCAACTGATGGGAGCTGGGATATTAAGAGGCTTGAACTGGGCACATGGGTGAGTAGAATGCAGGTAGCGGTAGGCTAAGGTCATGGTCACACAGAAACATATTGGTCAAAGGTACCCAAAGTCCCACACTCTGCACAGAAAAAGAGCGGGTGACATTTTGGTTCGGGGCTCCTGGGGCAAGTTCCAGAAGTAGCAGAGGTGGTGTCTGGTCGAGGACTGGGTGGCAGGAGTAAGGATGGGGTTGGCACCTGCTATGGGTAGGGTGGTTCTCCAGAAAGCGCTGGTCTAGCTGGTTTAGCAAGTCCTGGCAGTCACTGTAGGAGAAGGGGTAGCAGAAGGCGAAGAAGGTGGTGGCCCCACGGCCCTCCACGAAACGGTGGACAAAGGATAACACAAACTGCGTCTCTGTCATCTGAGGAGCAGAGGAGGAAGAGGGAGGGGCTGTTGGTGTGAGAACTAAGATCCTATTGGGATCGCCAAGAACTGACCTTACACCCTCAACACAATGCCCGACTTCCCTCCCTCTGGGACTTTCCATATGACAGCTGGCTCCTTCTGGGCTTCCTGAAGCAGGGGCTTATCTTGGACTCCAGCTAGCACTAGAGGGAAAGCTGATACCAAAACCTGGCGTCCCACCTGCCTGGTACTCTGTATCGAGGGTAACTCCTCTCTTCTTTCCCTCTTCTGCTTTTAGCACCCAAGTCTGTCTTTCTCCCTCATGGAGAACTTACCTCAAAGGTGGGCCGATCTCGAATGCGTTCCCAGCGTGGCCGGGTGGGGAGTGTGCGCACAAAGGGGGCCATGCCCTGGGAGTATAGCTTGCTTTGCTTATTCATGTTCATGATGTTGATCTTGATGAGTTTCCCTGGAGTTCCTCCCCGGACACTGAAGTAGAACCATGACCTGAGGGCCAGAGGAGGAGGAATAGGTCATTATATACTGAGGGCTGGAGACAGGCTACGTGAAACAGCTGGAGCGAGCAAGATTGGGAAAGGCCCGTTCGGTACAGAGGAGGTGAGGGAGGAGGGAGGAGGGGAGGGAGAGGAAGGGTACTGACGGGATGAACAGTAAGACAGCGAAATGAGCCTGGATTTGGGGCCTTGGCCACCTCCTCTCTTGTCCTTCTTCCACGCTCCCCTCTTTCCCCCTTACCTGTTCCCATTCTCAAACTCCGTTTCAGCACAGTCTGGTCGGGTCCACACGTTGAACTCGTAGTCAGGAGAAGAGGCGATGCTACTGGTGGGGGCTGATGCCCCACCTGCTGCTCCTTCCCCGTCACTAGACACAGATTCCACCTTCTCCACGTGGGCTAGGTTCCCTGAATCAAAGCGAGAACTGAACAGCAATCCCCCACAGCGCAGCTCCATGGTGAGGCTGGGAAAGCATCCTCCTGCCCACTCTGGCCCTGAGAGCTGGGGGAGAGTGGGGGGTGGCGTAGGAAGAAGGAAGAAAAATGAAAACAAGGTTTTTGGGTATCTCCTGATCAATGAAAGCTCTTCTTAGGAAATGCCCTAAGAAACAAGAGGCTCTTTCCACCTCAGAAAAGGCAGAAGTGGCCTTCTAGCAAAGGCTAAGAGAAAGCAGTTGTCTAACGCCACACAAAGGGCTAGAACTGACCTAAAAGGACCCCATTTTACTACATCTTGGCTTACCCAAAATGAAGTACTCCATGGCTTAACTAATGTTGAGAAACGCTAGAGTCCAAGCTTTTTTGCAAAAGACTAGAGAATGACATTGGAGAGGTCAGATTTCTCAAACCTACCCAGATACACCCACCACAGCACGTGGCCGTCTTGAAAAACGGGCCGTTCTGGATCTCTTGTTCCTAGACTGGCTCCCCGATCTCCAGCAGAGCAGAGCAGCGGAGAGAGCCAAGATTCTAAGTTTAAATGGGCAGCTGCTTCTCTCCACTCCTCTGTCCTCACAAGTCCTGACCAGGCATTCGTCTGTGGCTCCCCTGAACCCTTGGAAGGGCTAGTTCTTCCTTTTTTGTCACTACCCTATGCCTAGAAAACGGTGGCCTTTGCCAAGTCAAAAGAAACAAGGCAGAAGCCACCTGCTCACCTGGAAACTGTAGCTCAATGCCAGTTAGGGCATGGGTCTGTCTCCAGCCCCCTCCCGCCCTGCAAAGCACTGGAGTCCCTGAAAAAGCTACGCTGGCAATAGTTGTGGGTAAGTGATGGGTATGCTGAGCACCTCTAAAAACGTGGCTGGCAGAGACCCACGTGGGGGTAGGGGGTGATTCTCGACCCTCGACTCTGACAGACCCTCACCTCACACCGACCGAGCTTGCCCTGGGCAGGGCGGGGTTCGGAGGCATGAATGGACGACAGGGTCTCACACTCGGGGCAGGGACTGGGGGGGGTCAGAGGTGCGGGCGTGGGAGTGGGGCGGGGGAGGAGGGGTCGGCCGGGTCGTGGGGCGGGATGGCATTCCAGAGGGGCTCCGGGCTGAAAGGGGCTGAGAAGGGGGCGGGGCCGGGGCCGGCGGGGCCCGCGCTCCACGCAGCGCCCCTCACCTCTCTCGGGGCCGGCGATCCCGCTCTCTCTCCCGCTAGCGAGGCGCCACCTCGGGCCCCGGCACCCGGGTCCTCCACCCAGGACCCAAACAAAACCCGAGCGCCGCGGTGCCGGGACCCCGCTCTGCCAGGAAACAAGAAGTCTTTCGCCTATTGGCCGCTGATACAGCTGGCTACCCGCCCAGTAAGGCTCGCTGCCATTGGTCAGCACGCAGGGGTTCCCTCGCACGTTAGCAGGTACCTGAGCCAGTGGCTTTTGGGGGCTCGGCGGGCAGATCCGGCCAGAGGGTTCTACCGGGGTCTTCTCAGAAGACGGTTAACCGCCTGCCCGCTGGGAGGAGGGCAAGACAAAAGTGACCAAGAAATAAACCGGAAGACTCACCTGCAAAATAAAAGGACGATGTGCGAAGCTAATCATTGCGCACCGCGCTCTTCTGTGTATTACAAAATACCTTCCTGGGTCAGCGGATCTCCCGCCCTTCAGGAATCCTCTGATACTGATACAGGGGGCAAAAAGCCTCAGTGGAGGATGCGGGCATCGATCCCGCTACCTCTCGCATGCTAAGCGAGCGCTCTACCATTTGAGCTAATCCCCCGCCTGCTGCCGCCTCTCTTCCTTTTGCCTTACAGGCTGTTCTAGGCTGGCCGCTGACCCGAGGACCGACCGTAATTCAAAACCTTTATCTAGTAGTGTACAGGGGGATCGTGGGCAAGATTTTTAAAAGCAGGCATATAATAATCACACGTAAGCAATAGTAATAACATATCTTCGCATTTAACACAGACGAGGGTTGGATCGTACACTGATTACTTACTGCACATGTGTTTCACCGAACATCTGCTGTGCTCCTGCAAATCCACAGCGGGCCTCTGAGTGAAACTTTCTCCCTACGACTTGATTGGCTTGAGTTGGAAGCTAAAAAGATTATACGAAGTCCTTCGAGCCGGAATCGAACCAGCGACCTAAGGATTGCCGCAACTCGTACCACTACAGTCCTCCGCTCTACCAACTGAGCTATCGAAGGCTCCGCTGTCTCTGACGCCTGCCAATTCCTCCCTAATGCTTACCAACGCCACATTACTCTGACAAGATCTAGATTTGGGGGAAAGCTCCCCACCCCGCTTCATAAAAGGAGCTCTCCTGCCGAGTCCCTCCAAGCCGCACAGAAACAAAGGAAGCCGGAAACAAGTTCGGGCAAAGAACCTGCTTCCCAACTCTGGACAAAGGAAATGGGCAATACACTTACCTTCCATTTCCGTTTTTTACAAAACAAACAAACAAAAAAACCACATCTCCTCACCCCCCGTGGCTTTTATAGGATTGAGGACGCTTTGAGATCCTGCTCGCAACCTTGGGCCGCTGGGCGCATTTCCCGTGCGCGGCGGGCACGCACATGTGCTCTGCAGTTGCAAGGCGCAAGTCCAGTTTGCAAAGCCGAGGGCTTACTTTCGCTATTTGCTCCAGATTTCCCTTCGGTGTCTTGGGGGCGCCGGTAAAATCCTACTGCTCTCCTGATGTGAAGGACATTCATTAGGTCAGTTAACCAACGTTTTGTCAGGATTTATTCGTTCTGGCTGGAGCATGAAACATACAAACCACAGAGCTGTTCGCTGTGTGCAGGACAGCGCACCGTCCCGCCGCGCAGAAAGCCTGCGATTCCGGCCTGGCCGCAGGCGCGGAGGGGGCCCTGGGCGAGGCCAAGTACGCCCGTCCGCCCCTGCCCCTATCTCGTCACACCTCCGCGCCTCTTTCCAAGGGCCTGGAATGCCAGCCTACAATCCTTTGCCCACCAGAATTTCCTGGGGCTTTGAAACCAACCTAAAATCCACCTCCCCTACAAAGCCTTGCTTGGTGGTCTGGCGGAGTGCCTGTGTGGGAAGACCTGGACCATTTCCAGCTCTGCGGCCTGGGCTACCTGGAGTCACAGTCGCCCCGGGCAAATCCAGGTCCAGTGATGGTTTTAGGACCCGTTGCAGCCCTACACTTTAAATCCGAGGTCTCTGATGTCACTGAGCACACAGGGCTTTCACTCTTGCGCCCACCCACGAAGCAGGAGGTTAACAATCTCCCCACCGATTTCTTAGTTTAGCTTCATTCTGCTGCTCCAAATGCTACCACTGTGTCCGAGAGTGTTAATTTGGGCAGTTTTCTTGGCTCAGTCTTTAGTGTGCCCATTGACTCTCTTTCTTGAGGGGAAGGATGCTGGTAAACCGAACTTTTTTTTTTTTTTTTTTTTTTTTTTTTTTAAGATGAGATTCCCATAACATACAATGAACCGTTTTAAAGTATGAACGGTTCAGTAGCACTTCGTGCATTCACAGTATTATGCAAATTATCATTTCTCTCTAGTTTCAAAACTTATTTTTTTCATCACCCTAGAAGAACATCCTGTACTCTTTAAGTAATCATTCTCCACCACCACTCCCCCACTCCCTGACTGGCGCCCCTGCCCAGGCAACCACTAACCTGCTTTTTCTCTATGGCTTTGCCTATTCTGGAGATCCCATATAAGAGAAATAATAAAATATGTGACCTTTTGTGCCCGATTTCTTCCACTTGTCATAATGTTTTTGAGACTCTTCCGGGTTGTGTTACGTGTCAGCACCTTCTCCCTTTTGGTGGTCGCATAATATTCCATTGTATCACTATACCATTTTGTTTATCCATCTATTGATGGACATTTGGGCTGTTCCCACCTTTTAACTTTCATGAATGACAGTGCTATAAACATTCATGTACAAGTTTCTGTGTGGATATGTGTTTTTATCTTGGGTGTATAGGAGTGACATTGCTGGGGTTTATGGTAATTATATGTTTAACTCTTTGAGGAACCACCAAATTTTTTCCACACTGACTGAACCATTTTATATTCCCACCAGCAATGTAGGAGGGTTCTAATTTCTCCACATCCTTGCCAATGCTCTTCTGGATACTTTTATTATAGCCCATTTTCAACAAATTGAGCTCAATTATAAGCATTTTCCTATGTCTTAGAGAGTCTTTGAAATCATCGTTTGAACAGGCAGGCATGCCCGTCTCCGTGGGAAACGCTCCACCCCAGGGGTGATGGCATTTGAGAAGGGACTGGCAATGCTACAGGTGAGTCTAGCGACGCCATGCTTTGGGGAAGTCAGACCACCCATTAAGCTGACCTGCTGTAAAGCTGGCGCTATAGGTACACATCCAGAAACGTGCTTTAAGCCTTTTGGGAAGAAGTGTTTCAAATGAGTCATGTACCAGAACTCGCAGGCCCATACAGGAGTTGGTAAGAGATTGACAAAAGATAACCATACTCAAACTGCCCTTCGTTTTTTGGGGCACGTTATCTGTAGAACTCCAGCTGTGTAAAAAGTAAAGTTACAATGTCCAAATGTGACCTTCTGAGGCGTCAGGTGACTTCTGTTCTTCCAGTAACACCCATCATCATAGGGTGATAGCCCACCTGTCAGCCTGGGTCTGCTTGTCTAGTCCACACTAGGTCAGTTCACTGGCTCAGCTTAGATACTTGTGCATTGACAGGTCTGCCAAATGTGAAACTTCTGGGTGTCTGGTTTAGCTTTATTGGACAGCAGGTGCAGTGTTGGACTACTTCTCTTGACACCGGAGAAATTCTGGACAATTCCAATAACAGGTCAAACAACGGGGTTTATCAAATAAAGCCAATTAGGGTGTCAGTGTCCCTATGAAAAGCTGTGGAGGCCCCAGCCAACCTGATTACACGTTGTACCCCAGGATTCTAGGTCAGAAATTAAACAAACCCAGCAAGGTAAATCTCGTACACACTAGAAACCAACACAGCACTCCTAAGTGGCGTTCTTTGGTTTGCTGGATTGTGACAGTCCAGCAGCGTTGGTGATTCAATGTCATCATAGGACAGGGTCGTCATTTTACTTGTCCTATGCTGTTGCCAAGCCAGGTTCACAGCAGCCCTTCCTTCAACTTGCCTTGAATTCACGCCAGTTAGAAGGATTAGCTATTCTTAAGAATTGCACCTGTTTCTGATTGGGAAGTGAGGTCTTGGGACCCTTGGACAGTCCTGCCTAGCAGTCCCAGACCTTAGCTGCCAGGTGGGTTTTTTCCCTTGGGAAAAATGGTCGTGGTCAGCTGCCACTAGGAGCAGGGTTCTGCCCAATGTGGACTGTTTAACCGTCGACAGGTTAGAGTTACATCCTAACAAGGGAAGAGAACACAACGGGAGATGCCATTGTACTCATGACCTCACTTTGTGCCATGATTTTTCTACGCTGGCTACTTGATAGGCAGAGTCTCAGGGCAACAACTGAATGGGAAAGTGGTAGCTGGCCATCATCCTGCTGTCATCTCAGGGTTTGATGGAAGCAGGAACCAGCCTGGGGGGGTTGGAGTGGACAGTGCACCTCTAGCACTGCTTACATTTCAAACATTAGAATCTTGAGGTGAGAGTGGAAAGCCTGTGCAGCTCTCTTACGGTCCCCAGTCAAAAACAAAAAGGGGCTTTGGTGATAGGCCCTTGACTCGTGTGTCTTTTGGAGTCCTACATCTTTCACTCCTTGCCTTATAAAACTAATTAATAAATTAAGGTCCTGGCAAGGAGCCTGGCTGGCTCTCTCCGAGAGCATGTGACTCTCTGATCTCAGGGTTGTGAGTTCAAGCCCCACACTGGGCGTGGAGCCTACCTAAAAACAAAAATACAAATAAAAATAAAATAATAAAATAAAATGAAGGTCCTAGCAAGGAAGAGACCACCACCAATCACAGACCAAGAATTCCCCTAGGAAACTCTCCCTGCTTTTTCCAGCTTAAAATAGTCAAGCCATCAAGGTAGGTGTTGGGACACGAATCATAGTGGCAAGTGAGACAATATGATTAGGGCAGCAAAAGGAGCGTCTGGAATCCTCAACAGGTCCAAGTTTAGAGTGATGGGCATGAGCTTTCCCTGCCAGAAGCTCCCCTGCAGCCAGTGGCTACAACCTCCAGGAGGCAGGGAGCCAAAGGAGAACACGCATATGCCCAGTGTTTCGCTGTCCCGTTCACAACCACGGGAATCCCGACGTGACGATGCGGACAGGAAAGCTGGCAATCACACCTGTGTCCTTTATTCCACCCAGGAGGCATACCCAGGGGCCACATGCTGAATCCCGTCTCGACGGGCTGCTGGAAGGTTCGCTGGGCCCGAGGCACACAACCACCTGGGCTTTGCTCTCCAGGCAGACGGTAGGGCTGGGCGGCAGAGATAAGCTGAACCTTGAGGCAGAGTCCCCCAGCAACAAAGGGGAGTGGAGAGTAAGGAAGTAGGACCACGATGGAGGGGGGGGCAGTGAGGGGCCTCAAAGGACTTAAGTTGGGCATTTGGAGGTGAAAGGCCTTTCCGGCCAGGCCTCACGTCCACCGACAGTCACGCCCAGGCTGTGGGTTGAGGCGAGGCCGCTGTCGCCCACTATGGTGTTATATTCTTCTGCAGGCCCCTCTCCTTGTTCCACCGTGACCAAAGTCTGGGAGCAGGAATCACTCGTCAAAAGAATGCAGATGTCACTCAGTGGAGTCCCACCACTTTGGAGAGGAGCTGTTTTGGGGCTTTGGGGATGAGATGGAAGGAAGTGGAGAGCCTGAGACCAGAACGGGCTACAGAGGCTACTGGCCTGAGGGCAGAGGCCGGGAGCTACATGCAACAGGGCCAGGCAAGTGTTCAGTGGGATCAGGGGTAGGAGGCTGAGATGCCTCTGGGCTCAGTCCCCACCAAAGGTAGAAGTGGGACAGAGGCCACTGGCCACTTGCCTAGGAGACAGAACTCGGGCGCCAAGTAAAAAAAGACTCCTTTGCGGAAACCCCCCAGCAGTCTCCGAGGGCTGCCCCAGACAGGGACGCGGGGCCTATTGCTGGGATATCATGGCAAGTGCCCAGTCCAAGAAAGCCACGGTGATGTCCTGTAGGCAGAGCCAGGTCCAGCGGGCAGCCGCACTGAGCTGTGTCCTCACGCAGTCCCAAGTCACCTCACCTCTGGGAGGAGAGCAGAACATTTGTGGGGGTTGGGAGGCAGTGTCAAGTCACAGGGTTGCAGCTCAGACCCACGACCCGCATCCCGGAGTCGCCTAGGGACGCTTGACCGCTGGGGTGGGGCACAGGGAGAGACTGGACGGAGAGCCCTGTCCCTGGGGAAAGGGCAGGGGGCTCCGGGGCTCCTGCTGCAGCGCTGGACGCGGCTCTCACCTGCACGCCTCATGGCAGCGCTCCTGGGCCCGGGCCAGGGCCTCTAGCAGGACGTGCCACAGCGGCAGCAACACACTGTGGTAAAGCAGCAGGAGCAGCTCCCTCAGAGACTGGAGCAGCTGGATCAGGGTGTTGGGGAGCTGGATCTGTAGCTGGAGCACAGAGCATGGGGGCGGTTAGAGCACCGGGAGAACGCATCCTGGTCCTGAGGACCCGCTCCACACGGGGCTGGACCTTCCGGCCCCTGGGCAGACCAGCCATTCTCCCTGTATCTGGCTTACCCTCTGGGAGAGGCTGGCGAGGCTGTCACCAGCCCAGGCAAGGTGGGAGGCACAGTGGGCAGAAAGAAAGCTGACTGTGGCATTGGTGTGGGTCCAGGCCAGCTGCAAACCGGGCCTCACCACAGTCAGCAGGTGGGAGCCCCAGGCTGGCAGGGTCTCCTGCAGCCAGCTGTACAAGATGGAGGGGAGAAAGGAAGGCCGAGTTTCCTCAGACAGCTCGGCTCCCCTGAGAACAGCTGGGGGGAAGGGAGGCCTTGGGGAGGGAAAACTGCCATCGTTCCCGACCGATACCGCCACCACCTCGAACACCAAGCCCTCTCCCTGCCACCTCCTTTCTCCCCTCCCCAGGCGGAGCTCACCTGTAGCCTTGCAGGCTGTAGGAGTAGACCTTGGCACATACGTGCTGGCCAGCAGGCAAGAACCCAGATGATTGAAGCAACCGGCCAGAGAGGGAGGCTGAGTAAAGGGGGCCCGTGGTGAGCTGGGGGGCAAGGCGGACAGGGAGTGGGGAGACAGACACTACAGGCCCCAGAGCAGGCCCAGTGGGGGATGTAGCAGAACGCAGCATGCTCCCAGGGCTGCAGAGCTGGCTCCAGTCTGCTCTGGAGCATGCTCGCTTGGAGGGAGGGGTGCAGGCCTGGGGAGCTGAGCCCGTTTCTCCTGCTGGGCCGGGTGAATGGGAATGAGGCAGCCAGGCAGGTGTCAGGAAGCCTGGGTTGGAGGGTCCACCCGTCTACTTACCAGCCGTGATCTGAAGCTAATTGGTAAATGTGACCCTCAATTTCCTCAGGAGTTAAAAAGGAGATAACACTTTCTCAAACAAGACCGTGCATACACAAGCATTTCTACACTGCAAAGCAACAGTCCAATCTGAAGCGGTAATGTCACAGTTGTGGACAGAAAAGCCTGCCTGGAAAGGTTTCTTCTGTAGGACTAGGACAAGGCTGTATTAGGGGCAGTGGCCACTACACCTAGCTCCGTGCCTCACCCTCGTGCTATCTTCCTCACCTGCCAATCACTGCTTACCCTGGAAAGAGCTATGTGACCGGAAGTCATGGCACAGGAAACCTACGGCAAAGACCAGCACCAGTAGGAGCAGCCGTGTCCAGGGCAGCCGGTAGCCCCGTGCCTGCTGCAACAGGCCCTACGAGGGGAGGGGGAAGGACCGGTGGTCAGATGGGAAGGGGGTGGTCCTCGCCTCCTAAGGCGGGCCTCAAGCCAGGCCTCCTCCCCTCCAGGGACAGGTGGGGCGGAGAATGTGCTGAGCCACAGGTGTAGGACGGTGCGCGGGCTGGGGAGGGCTGGGTGCTGGTACCTTGCAGGCTGTGTCACAGGTGACGGCATCCTGGTTGTTGCAGCTGCCCTTCCTTAGCAGCTCCTGGTTGGTAAGCTTGAAGGACTGAATGGTTTCTTGCAAAGACTTCTGTGTCTATCGGATAAGAAAAGTCTGGGTTGAGAGGACAGCATTCAGTCTGTAAGGGAACCGAGCCTCCACCCTGTTTCACTGTCCACGCAGTGAATACAGTGCCTTCTCAGGGAGGGGGGCAGTGGTTGAAGGGTACGAACCCAGAACCCAGACGAGGCTCAGCCTGCCATGTCCTCCCAGCTCCTCACCTTCTTGGGAATCTGCTCCCAGGACCTGAGCAGGTGTTCCAGCAGCAGGCTATGGGGAAAGCACAACCCCTTGCAATCAGGGGGCCCACTTGGCCCTTCCCGTCCCCCTTTAGGCCCTGGCTCCTTCACTTCCCTCCCACAGTGGGCAGCTTCCTAGAGGCCACCCCAGCAACGTTCCCGCTCAATTTGAGAGGCACGAACCCAAAGGACAGTGACAGATTTTCCCCTTCTACTTCTAGGCTAGGGACAGGTGGGGAAGCATGGATTAGGCTTCTCTGTATGGACTGGAGGTGGGCAGCCCCCCACCCCCACCTGCCTGGACTGTGACAAGTGCTTGGGGTACAGCTGCCTCCAGACACTGGCGCTGAGGGGGTCCACCGTCAGGCACTCGGTCAGGCTGCTCAGGAGCTGCATAGGGGACAGGAGAAACTGCTGGGGACTGGGGCTGGCTGGAGGAGAGGGTGCTGAGAGGTAACCCCTGGCCCCCAAGTGGGGCAGCCCAGGCAACACACCCATCCCAGAGAATGGGGAAATCATGCCAAGACCCCAGAAATGTCTGAGAGGTCGTAACGGGGAGGCTGGAACTCCCAACCTAGAGCTTGAGCTGGAAGGTCACCCGTCCACAAGAGGCAGGACATCAGAGACCAGCTTAGCTCCGTCCTCGTGAGGGTGGTGTGCGAGTGGGGCGGGTGGCTATCAGGAGCTAAGGAGGTGCCCAGGAAACGGGTCCCAGGAAGGCAGGGACCTCACCAGCAGGTAGGGACCTCTGCAGCGGCCTCCCGCCACTTCCTCACCTCTTTCTTCATCTCAGGAGGGCAGCTAGGGGTGGCTCTGGACAGGAAGGAGGGGAAGTACGTATGCAGGATGGATTCCGGCCTCGCCCCAAACGCCAGCACCTTCAGTCGGGGGTAGAGCTGACACAGCTGCTCCTGCAGGCTGGGGTGGGGGTGGGGAGGAGAGCCAGGCACAGGCTCTAAATGGAGCTATGTGATGCGTCCCTTTTCCTGCCCGAGAGAGGGGAGTCGCTAAGGGCCTTATAATGGCAAGGAGTCTTTTCAAACACAGAGAGCCCCCGGGAAATCTGTTGAAGTCATGGATCTTCTCCCCAGGAAGACGTCCATATGGCAATGATACTCGAGGGCCCACACAATCTCAGGAGGTTCACCGATCCCTCGAACCTTGCAGGTTGAGAATCTCAAATTTAGGATGGTTGGAGAAGAGGGGACAGGAAATATGCTGCCTGCTCCTGACTCTGCTGGGATCCTTCACAGCAGGTGTGCCCCAGGGTAGTCCTACCTGGGTGTCAGGGAGTTGTTGGGCATGTAGGCAAAGTCCAGAAGTGGGAAGAAGTCCTTGGGGCCAATCATGCCAAAGCCCTTGGTGAGGTTGGGGTGCATCCTACGGGGGAAGGAAGGAACAGACTTGTGGAGACTACCATACAGGCTGTGAACCCAGCTAAACCCAACATCTAGGGAAATGGGCATAAACCCTGCCCCACCCCCTACCCCTTAATAGCTTCTTTCCTTTCCTTCCTCACATTCTGATCGGGAGGGGCTGGTCCTGGTTTTCCTCACATCTATGGAGGCCAGGATCACAGCATCCCGTTTTGCTGAAACAGCTACTTTGTGTTTTTTCGTTTTAAATTTTTTAAAAAGTTTTTTTAGTTTATTTTGAGGGAGGGAGCATGAGCGGGGGAGCGGCAGAGAGAGGGAGAGAGAGAGAATCCCAAGCAGGCTCAGCACCGTCAGTGCAGAGCCCGATGCAGGGCTCAAACCCACAAACCATGAGATCATGACCCGAGCCAAAATCAGGAGTCAGATGCTCAGCTGACTGAGGTGCCCCCGAAGCAGGAACTTTGAACACCCTAAGCCTTCCTGGCTGCCCCCCCCCCCCCCCCCCCCCCCCCCAGTTACTCACAGGAGCAGTCGATCCAGGTATGCAATGGCGAAGGGAGACAGAGACTTGATGCCCAGCACAGGCAGCATGATCCCTAGCCACACTGAGGAGACAAAGTTCAGGGAGGAAGACTCAGGCTCGGACCCACTGGGGATGTTAAAAAGCTTACTGCTTCCAAGACCACCCTTCTTCCTGCCCCCCTTCTCCGTTACCTTTCAGTCCTTCAGTGAGGTTGGTAAAACCTGCTTGACCCAGGGCCCACATGATGGTCAGACACTTCGCTGGACGGCTCTGGTGAGACCTTAGCAGTTCCAGGAACTGAGGAGACCGGTGGGAAAGGCAGGTTGGGATGGGGCAAAGCACCAGGAGCACCCCAACGCCAGGCAGTAAGAGATGTCAACAGGGAGACAAGGGACAGGCCACGGAGCAGTGGAGTAGTACAGGGCAGTGATTCAGAGCATGTGCTCTGGCACCAGGCTGTGGCCTTCGACCATACTTTCCGCTTACTAGTTTACTAACTCTAGGAAAGTTACTGAACCCCTCCGCAGCTCAACCTTCTCCTCTATAAAATGAGAGTAACGGCAGTACCTACCTCACGTACATACAAAGCACATCCAGGACAAGCACTAGCAGCATTAGCCATCAATACTGGTCTTACAGGGTCTTCTACTACCCCTTAACTCGGTCCAGAGTGTAGATTCTGCCCAGCCTCCCCAGTCCTAGCCTCCTGGTGTCCCCACCACCAGCCTGAGCTCACCTTGCCCAGGTTCATGGTGGCAATCTTGGGCTTGTCTTGCAGAATGGCCTGGATACAGATGCGGTAACCATGTAGTGACTCCCCTGAAGAGACATGTGTTCTCAGACGTACATACCCTACTTGACATCCCAAATCTGAAATCTCCCTTCTAGCAGCTGTGAGCCCAGAACGCAGGCCCAGCGACTTCTAACTTTCTCTTTCCAAAAGAGTGTGGAGATCGGTACATTTCCCTGTTGGAAACAGAACCACCCAGCCCATCTGGAAGTAGAAAAAAGGGACTAGTAGGTTTCCAAGATGGGGGGGGGGGGCTAACCCTCACAGGGGGGCCCACTCACCTGGCGTCTTATCCAGTTCTTGCAGCATAGTGAACAGACAGTGGTCAAAAAAGAGCTCCAGAGACCCTGCTGCCTTGGCCAGTAGCCCTCGGATGATCCCACGCAGCTCCCGGTTTACCAGGCTGTAGGGATAATCTGGGGCCGACAGGCCTCCACGTGAGTGCTAGGACCAGAAGCTTCTGCAGCTCTGTGCACTCCCTGAGGATGGGGAGTGCAGGCAGAGGCCCCCTGCACTGAGGCTGGCATCCTCCCTATCCCAGTGAGGCCCAGGCGCTGTCACAGCTGTTATGATTCGAGAACATCTTTGATTCACGCACAGGAATCAGGACAGGGTAGGGGCACTGGGCTCTTTTACTAACTCATGTGCTGACGCACAGCCCTTTCGGTGTTTCCTTGAACTGGTCTGATTTTGAGGGAGTCAGAAGAACTAACCGTGAGTGTGCTGGCTTAGAGTGGGTTCACTTAGAGGCGCTTGCAGCTTGTAGTTGAGATAGCTGGCCAGGTCCTTCAACCACACGGATGGGTTTCCAGAGAACACGCTCTGGCTCTTGTCTAGCTCTTTCTGCAGAGCTGCCACGTCGAGCTGCCAGGGACACAGGCCCCCCATGGTGCGTTATGAGTACAGGGAAACAGGACAGAGGTGGGAAAACGGGTGAACTAGGTGAAGGCAGAAGGAAAAAAGGGTTTCTGCTTTTAAGTGTTAAGTATGCGGAATGCCACAATATTGCTGCACCCGGATATTTGAGGAAGAGTACAGCTGGGATTGCTGATCTCAAGGCCCAATACTCTTAAGCCCTTCACACGTTCAAGGGGACCAGACGGAAAATGAAACACTGCTGCTGCCACAGGGCGAGGAACCACAGCTGTTTCTCTACCCTCTCCCCAGTATCCCTGGGTCTTCAAGGCTCTCCTTGCATAATCTCGGTTTCCCTAGAAACTTATTTCCGATCTGTCTTAAATGCAAGCATTCTATACCTTGGGATCTCTGCCCTTTCCTGAATGCTTCCTCCCAAAAGTAGTGTCTCGAGTTCCACAGGTCCCTCGGCGGCCACCGCCACCCCCTTGTTCCTTTCATCTTCTCCACACCTCACGTCCCTGTTGTCTCCCCACCTAAAGTCTAGGCACACTCACAGCTTTCAGTGCCTCCTCCAGGCTGCGGAAGCGACCCTGCTTCTGGTTCTGGTTGGCGAGGGTGGCCGCCTTCTTAGTCTGCTTCTTGTTCCCGGGTTTCTTAGGCTCCACAGCAGGGGGTGGAACTTGCTCCTTATTCTGCCGCTTCAGGATTCTCTCAAAGCCCCGCTCATAAAGGGTGCTTGTCGTCTGAATTGGAGCTGGGGTAATGACAGGCAGAGAAAGGGGGACCATCCTTGAGTCATGAGGGCCTCACGGGAACAGCGGTGCCTTCCCCCACATTGCCACCAGATTCGTCTCCAGTGGGGAGCCTGCCTCAACGCCCCTTCTTGCGTCCTGCTTAAGGAGCAGGGCGGGCAGCCCTCCCGGTTGCTTCTTTCAGTCATGGCAGCTCTTGAGTTCATAGGCTCTTTCAAAGAGGTGAGGCATTTCTTTATTAGATAAGTCAGAGTACGTGGGAACTAGCAGAGGAGTAGGATACAGAGGGCTGGCTTCCTTGGTGAGTGGCTACCAGTCTGGGAGGTCAGGACTTTTCTGTCTTGGTTCCAGTGTGACAACTCTATAATCAACAAGTGGCAAGCTCTCTCCACTCTCCAGGAGACTTCGAGGAAAGAGGCGCCACTTAAATACTCGCTGGGTGTTGAGAATGAGTGGTGGGGTCTTTCCTTCTGCTGCCGGGGCCCCTGTTTGGTCTCTTTTTCCCCCCCCCCAGTACTCCAAGGTTGGTTACCTCAGAGGCGGCACCGAGTTAATGATGCCTAGCCGAAGCCAAGTTCTCCCCCAGCTCTCAGACATTGGCCCCAGAGGCCAGGCTAGGGCCGGGAACAGCTGGTAGGGTGTGTGCAGACAGCAGTCCTGGTCCCCTGACACACCCCGGGAAAAGGGCACTCATCTGGCCTCGTTAATCCATCTGGTGAGTAAGAGGACAGCTCCCTCCTAGCGCTGTCTACCTCCCGTGAGGCTCAAGGGGCGACGCACGGCAGCGCTCGCCGAACGGGGGGTGCCGATCGGCAGGATATTCCAGGGCTCGGGTGCATGTCACACCGCTGGAGGGGCAGGCCTGGGTCAGGGAGGCGCTGGCGGCCGGCCACCACCGGGTCAGCCGCTCTCCATTTCCACACACCGTTCGCCTCCCCGAGAGCCCGGCTGTCCCCTCCGCCGCTTCTACCACTGCCGCCGGCCCCGGGCCGCCGCCCTTTCCTCACCACCTCCCAGCGCCCCCCACCAGCCGCCTTGGTTGTTACATGGTCTGACCTCCCGCCACTGCCACCTCCCTGGGCTTTCCGGTCCGGCGCGGATGCACCGCGCTCTGCCACGTCTCCTCGCAGGGCCTCGCGGCGCGTGACGCCGACCGCAAGGCAGCCTGGGACTTGTAGTCTTTCGTTTTCGCCGCGTTATCTCTAGCAAGGTATCGGGTCGGGCCGGGCGGCTGGGGTCTCCTTCGTAGCAAAAAAAAAAAAAAAAAAAGAAAAAAAAAATCCACGCAAAGGCGTTGAGATGAGAGGCTGTTGTATTCAGAGCATTTTAATTGGGCATTTACTGTATGAAGGCCACTGCATTGGGTGACTTGGAAATGTAACCAATTGCGGTTTTCTTTGCTTTCTAGTGGTGCCAGAAAGATGGAATGGAACATTCTCCTTACCTTCGGGGCGAGGTTGAAGATTACATGCTTTCTCCCTTCTAGGAAAGTGCTAGTTTTTTTGTTGTTAGTGGTTAAACTTTAAGTTATTGGGCTATAAAAAAAAAATCTATTGTGGAAGAACAAGGAAGAGGATGGAACTTGCGGGTAGGGGAAGTGTTTGGAGGACAGGAAATGGAGAGCGGTGGCCCCCGCTAATAGAAGGGAAAAGTCTGGGGTTCTGGGACCGCCAGGGCTGTTTCCCCTTACAGGGAATAGGAAAGAATGGCTCTGACCCTCAGTGCAAGAGTCAGTCCCAAGTCCCAGATGTGGCAGGGAGTCATCAAGAAGAGCCCCAGACCTGAGGAACCACTCAAAAGAGGTTACTGCTGACTTTCTCTGTCCCTGGAGGGCCTTCCACCATGCTTGTAGTATCATGTGAAACCTCAAAATGTAAAGCATCCCAGTAGGGGAGGAGGAGGAGAGGAGAAATGAAAGTAACTTATTATAATTAAGGAAATGTGCTGTTTCAGGTACACTCCTACATTTAAGGGTGAGATTCATACCTGCCGTACTCAGGTACAAGATAGGTGAGGCCTTGTAGTAAGAACTGATAGAGTCCAAATTCCTACAGGATGAACAGCTTGGGAAGTGATGAGGATATCCTAAGGATATCCTAAGGATAGGAAGGAGATTAGAGAAGCCTTCCTGAAAGAGGTGGCATTTGAGATGGGTCCGGGGACAGGGAGAATTTTCACTGGTTGGCCATCAGGACAGGTGCAAAGAACAGGCCAGCCGTATGGGTTTATTGCTTTAAGTGAAAGCCTAGAGGTGGGGCACAGCAGGGCAAAGCTGGGAAACGAAGTAGTTCAGTGTGATGGTGTTTAATGAGATTTGGGAGGTGAAGAAGGGTGGAAAGCGATCTGAACCCATATGCTATGGTCTGCCAGAAATGTGGACTGGGAAGCCAGTGAGAAAGTGGCACAATCTACTGTTTTGGAAAAATAAGTGAGTGTATGTGAAGGATAGGGTGGGGCGGGGGGAATGCCTCCTGCCTGTCCTCTAGCCCCTTCTGGCCTGACTGTGGCTGACCTTGCCTCCGTTTCGTCTGAAATGGAGTGCTTTTGCCCAGGACCGTAATTGAGCTGCTCGTTCATCAGTTCCTTTTTTTCGGATCATCGGTTTAGTTCTACCCGACCTCACAACAAGATCTCCTTTGCTCAGCCCTTTTTCTGTCACGTGTAGGGTCACCGAAGAGATGTTCTTTTCTGAAGAGAAACAGAACGGGTGGGCTTTCCGTAGGGTCTGCCCCGTGGTGGACGTAGTTAAAAAGGATGGGAGGGGCTTTCTTTTCTATCTTTCTTTGGCACCGTCTGACAGCTCATTTGTTGTACCTTGGTATCCAGGGGTGAGAAGTCATTCACTTACTTAGGCGCTTCTGCACTTTCTAAGCACCTTCTCTACCTAAGCACCTGGCACTGTGCCAGGGGAGCTGGAGGATTCACCTCACTTGCCTGTGAGGAACTCGAAGCCTGTGTGAGACAAATGTGAAAGCAGAAAATTATAGTTCACCATCTAAGTGTTCCACGAGGAAGAGACTTAGTATGATGAGGGTACTGGGAAGAGGTGGAGGCGGCGGCAGTGGCTTTATGTCCCTGAACTCTGGGCGTTCCAAGAGCAGCCTCAGACACTAGCCGTGCAGCGGACTTGGGCAGCTACCCACGTGGGGTCTGAGGGAAGAATCAAGATGTGGGGTCAAGCAGGACAGGTGGGTGTCTAGTGTGGGGGCAGGAAGGGTGAGCTCACCGAAGCAGTGTGACTTACCACGTTAGATTTTTATCGCTGCCGTAACAAACTTGCCATAAACTTAGTGGATGAAAACAACACGTTTATTATCTTATAGTTCTGGAGGGCAAGGGTCTGGCAGGGTCTCACTGGGCTAAACTACGGTGTCTGCAGGACAGTGATCCATTCTGCAGGCTCTACGGGAGTATCTGTTTTTTCACCTTTCGCAGCATCTAGAAGCTGCCCGAGTTTCTTTGCTCAGGCCCCTCCCATCGTCAAAGCCAGCAGATTGAGTCCTTCTCACAGGGTATCTCCTCTGCTCCCCTTCCACTTGTATGGACCCTGTGATTACACTGGCCCCATCTGGATAACCCACAATACTCTCCTTATTTTAAGGTCAACTGATGAGTGACTTAATTCCACTTGCAACCTTAATCCCCCTTTGTTATGTAACCTAACATCTTCCAAGTTCTGGGAATTATGACCTGGACACCTTTAGGGAGGAGGCATTGTTTTGGCGACCACACCCACTTTGCTGGCGGGGTGAGGTCTTGGCCTGAAGATTAGGGCCACACAGAACAACTACTTTAACCTCTTTTTTTTTTTTTTTAATGTTTATTTATTTTAGAGAGAGACACAGAGACATTGAGGCGATGCAGGGTGAAGGGGAGAGACAGGGAGACGCCAGAATGCAAGGGTCCAGGCTCTGAGCTGTCAGCACAGAGCACGATGTGGGGCTCGAACTCACAAACTGCAAGATCAAGACCTAAGCCGAAGTCGGACGCTTAACCGACTGAGCCACCCGGGCACCCCTACCTCTTACAGTGTCTACCTGGAATAATGGAGGGAAAGCCCTTTGAAGTGAGGCAAGGGAATTAAAAGTCATAACGATCAATAAAAGCAGGCAAGGAACTTGTTGGGAGGAGAAAAACAGAAGTAGAATAGGGCTAGAAGTATCTATGTGGGGGTGGGAGTCAAAAGGAGGAGGTGAAGCGAATGAGGAATGACCAGGAATGAACTGCTTCTCTAAGGCTTCTATCTGGAGTCATTGGAGAAATGGCAGTGGTCTGGCAGAGGCTCAGGGAGCAGGGTCACAGGAGAAACAGTTCCAGTTTGATCATAATTCAGGATGATGAGGAAACACCTACAAGGACTACTAGCCTGCAGCCACAGAACACTCTGGAGGTCACACCTCCGTGGTCTTTGGGGATGAGCGCCGAATCATGCGTCAGGAAGTCTGAAGTCTAACCTAGATTTTTACCACCTTGAGCAAGTCATGTCACAAGCAGGCCTTGGTCCCTTCATCAGTAAATGAGATGACTTTGTTTGATTGGGCCTGGTTCCCACATTCATTTCAGGGCCCTCGGTCCCTGGTCGGCTTCCGGGCCATTGGTTACGATGGCCCTTTGCCGGGGCACGCACCAGGAATGTAGGGCTGTGTGGATGACGTGAGGCTTCCTGACTCCTGGTTCCTCAGAGCTTGTTTGAAGGAGGAACCACTGGGGCACTGCTGTCCTAGGCTTCAGCACTCAGAGCTGCTTGCTCTTTGTAACCCACTCAGCTCTCTGTCACATAATACCTTGTCCCCAGCTGGATCACAGTTGTGAGGTATATAACAATATGCGCCCTGACTGGCCCAAAGGAGACTGAACCAAAGCAACCCTTGGCCGGGCCCCCAGCCCGCCCCCAGTTACTGCCCCCACCCCCAGCCACTTTACTGGGTTGCCCATCGTCACAGCCATAGCCCCAAACTTTGTTCCTTCATGGGGATTGGGGCTTTGGGGCCTCCGTGAATTCCTTCCCTTAGAGCCCTGGCACCAGTGTTGAGAGATGGGGACTAGGTCAGAGCTGGCCTCTGAGGCCAAGCGCCAATGGCAGTTTCTAGGCCTGACAGAGGATGGCAGGGGTGCAGTGCTCCGTGGCCGGCACCTCTGGAGAGGGGAGTGCTCGGGAGGAGAAAAACATTGAGACCCAGGCTGTGGCTCGCTTGAGGGAGACAGGGCATGGACTTTTACCACACAAGTTTATTTAAATAAAAGTGAACACATATGCAGGCTGGGTGGCCCGAGGGGGCAGAGGTCGGGGAGGAGGGCAGATGGGAGGCAGACGAACAGGAAGGTCCAGGCAGAATCTGTGTGGTATGAACCAAGCTGCAGAAGGGGTGGCTGGGGGCCTGGGGGCGGTGCTGGGCTTCGGTGCTGGGGGCAGGGGGCCGAGGGTGGGTGAGCCTGGTGCCAGGAGGTCATTTTCATCCCTCACGTGCTCCCCCCGCCTCTCCCTGACAACCGGGGCCTCAGGCACCCCCCACTCGGTCCCCTTATCCCTCTCCCGACATCAGCCTTCCCCTCAACTACTGGGAAGTCAGAAGACAAAATAAATAAGAACGGGTGAGTCCTGCCGAGGCTCCCAGCAATGGGGTAGGGATGCCAAGCCAGGCACACTGCCCCGGAGCCCCGTGCTGTCAGCCCTGGGAAAAGAACAGGTAAAGTGCAAGGAAAATCCAGTAAGTAAAAATATACCAATGACTTTGTCAAATATACAGCTGCTGGCTGTCAGGGGAGCGGGCGGCTGGCTGGGGCGGGCGGCGGCAGCGCCACCCTGGGAAGTGTTGGCCGACACAGCGTAGAGACAACGGAAATAAATAGGGGTGGAGGAGTGGACAGAGGCCTCGCCCAGCGCCCACCGGGCCTCTGCCTGCTCACCTGCCCCGTCCCCACAAGCCTCGCTCCTTGCCTGACTCCCCAGTGCTGCGGCACTGACACAAAGCACCCGGCGCCGACCGGCTGTAAGGAAAGGATTATAATGTGGGGCGGGAGCAGGGCGGGGAGGCACGGCAGCCGTGCAGTCAGCCAGGGCTGGAGCCGCCCTCAGTACTCGTCTTGGTCTTCCTGTTGGTGTTCCTCAATCTCATCGTCCTCGGGGGGTGCAAATCCTTCCTGGAGGGTGGGAAGGGAGAGAGAAGTGGTGAGCCAGGCAGGCCAGGCAGAGGGGGAAGACTTCTGCTGGGAGCCAGTCCCACCTCCCCTGCTGATCTCTGTGTGACCCTGGGCTCTTGACTTCAGTGGGCTCTCCCCACCCTGTTCCCCCAGGCCCCTCGGGTGCTACCCCTTGTGGTCTGCAGGGGGCAGGATGGGGAGGGCCCAGTGGGCCTGGGACATGAGCGGGGGAAGGCAGAGCTCACCTCGGTGGCATAGAGAATGCCTATGATGCCCGAGATAACCGGGCTGTTCTCACTTTCGTGTTCCTGGCAGATGAGCTCGATGTCTCGAAGTTTGCTGAAGTAGAAGTCACGCTCCTTCTCCAGCCCATCCACCGTCAGCTTCAAATCCAATAGCTGCTTGGGGACAAGGCGGTGTTCAGGCCAGAGGCCCCTGCCCCAGACTCCCCTTCCCACCCAAGGTCCTGGCTTTTGTTGAGGGCTCTCTCGCCCACCCTACTCACCTGCTGATTGAGTTCGAGAATCTGGGCATCGGTCTCATGGCCGCCATTCCGGGCTGATGGGGGGTTCTTCCGGAGGATGCAGGGTGGGGCCACATTGCTCAGCCGGCCAGAGGTCTGCATGTTTTTGGGGCCTGTGGGGGACGTCCTCTGTGGAACTGCCCAGAGGAGAAAGGTCGGATGGGGCCACGTGAGCCCGCG